CTTCCTGCGTGCACCGAGGAAGGGGGTTAACTTCGGCTTGTTCTCCGCAGGTACGTCCCTTCTCAGGCTGATATAGCAGTCTTTGAAGCAATCGCTGCCCCACCTCCTGCAGACTTGTTTCATGCTCTTCGGTGGTACAATCATATTAAGTCGTACGAAAAGCAAAAGGCAAGGTATGGTTAAGCTGCAAAGCTGGAATGTGTGTGTGAACTGGCCTACGAAGTGTTGCGTTTGTTTCTTCGAATTTAAACAAAGCAGTGTTTTTCAATGGTGCCATGTGGCTTTTTGTGTTGCCCTTGGAACAGAAACAGCTCTAGAAGCAGACCAGACCTCTTCTGTCAAAGCATTACACTTCTCACTTAGAATTTACGCAACCTGACTCTGTCTCTGTTCAGTTGCTGACATTTCTGCTAAAGCTTATAAGAAAGGCTTGAGTTCTGTTGCTGCCATTTCCACAGATAACTGTGCTGAAAGCTGGAAATTACTTGCCAGTAATCGACTCCATAAAGGCAACATGAAAATGGATTAGAAAGTATTACAGGAGTCTGAAGATAAATGTACAGTATGTAGATGAAAAATAAGGAAAGTGCTTCGTTCAGGTTTTTAGTCCCAGAAGATAAAACAAAATCAATGAATTTGCAATGCAGAAGCACATATAAAGAAGGGAAGATGTGAAAGCAAATGTTATCTTTTCTCTTTTTTAGTGATTTTAGTGTTCATGAAAGGTGCTGTATTGACATCCATGGAGACTGCAGGCCTCTCTAAAAAGGTACAGCATAGGTAGTGTCAGTATTGCTACACTGCCTCCTCTATGTGCCTCAGTCCTGTTCGGAGGGAACTTTTGTAAAGTTGGGTGGCTCAGTCACCAGTCCGTTTCTGAAGCTCTTACAGTGCTAAAGGGGACTGAGATGATAAAAGTTGCTTCAAAGGGTCTACTCTGTGGAAATTACTTATAATTCCTGAAAACTAAAGCAAGTTTTATGACTCTCTCAACAGCAATTCACAGTAACAATAGAACTGTGAGCTTATTTTAAGACTACAGAACTACATGAGCTATAGGAGAAGATTAATTCAGAGGGTTCTGGTCCCTCGCTGTTGAGAGCTAGCCTTCAGAGTAAAGCGTTCACTGAAACTTACAAAATCGCAGGATCAGTTACCTTGCAACAGCATGTCTTCTGTCACTATTAGTTTTTAAACAAATTAAAATCTTTTTAGGGAAGCATGAACAAGAAGTTGGTAACTCTTCCTACACAGAATGTATTGCAGATAAATTATTCCAATAAGAAAGTTTTTTTTTTTATCCATGTACTTAAGTGGAGCAGCAGTGTTGGTCAGGATGTCAGCTTAGATGAACAATCTTTGAATATGGGATTTGCTGTAATCTCAACTAGCATGTCAGGAGCATTGGAGGGGGAGATGTTTTCCAGTAGCAGAATGAGAACTTTTTTCTAGCACAGCATTTTTGCTATGAGTGCACTTGTAGGTTCATTGATGAATTGGCAGTATTTTTATTGACATTTGAGTGGGTTCCTAATACCTGCTGTTTTCTTTCAGCTTGCCAGGAGTAAAGAAGGCTTTGGGGAAATATGGTCCTGCTGATGTTGAGGACACAACAGGTGCAGCCACAGATAGCAAAGATGACGATGACATTGATCTTTTTGGATCTGATGATGAGGAGGTACTTGTGACCTTTTTGTATTATATTTGGGGTTTTTTTAAATACCCAGATATGCAGAATTTTGCTTTAACTAGTTTAACTTACTTATATTTGTGACCTTGATACCACATCCTGCTCGGAATTCTCAAATTCAGCTGTCTTTGCAGAGCAGAAAAGATTGGAAGGTAAAAACTCAGAGATGGAAAGGAATGTGTTGCAATGGGGTGAACTGTCCAATTTTGACTGGTTACATGATGAATAAAACAAAAATCACCATCTTTCGGCTGACCGTTGTGATGATTTGTTTTTGCCTGAGTAGATGCCAGTCAATTTGGTAATGCTTTAAAGATGCAGGGTTTTGGTGCTTTTCTGTAACTTTAGATTTCTCTTTCAGGAAAGTGAAGAAGCTAAGAAACTGAGGGAAGAACGTCTGGCCCAGTATGAATCAAAGAAGTCCAAAAGTATGTATGCCAAGAACTTTTCAATCTTTTATGCTTGGGTTGGTTTTCATGCATTTGAACAGGATGGCTAGAAATACGAATTAACTGCAATAGATAAGCTTGGCTGGAATGAGACAGGAGTAATTAGCTTCTCTTGAATTGCCTGTGAGCTTAGTCTTTCCCATAGCAAATGGGAACCTTAGCACAGTTCTTGTCCTACTTAATACACTCCAGTTTGTCTTACTCAGAGGCTGAGCTTTCTATATAAATGGGGATAACTCCAGAATTTTTTTAAAAGTTTAGAGAAAAGGCTGCGATATGCAAGTCTCTCCACAGCTACTGGTCTGGAACTGTTCAGAACTGTAGCAGTTGCAGTATTCCCTCTGTGGAAAATGAAGTGTTACACAGCATTAAGCTCCTTCTCAGATCCTCTGAAAAGGACTTCCTATGTAACAAACAATGTCAGCTGCTTAATCTAGTTTTCTTATGAGACTCTTTAAGAACATACGTGCCTATATCTTGAACATTGGGATATGCATAGCTGAAATAATTTTGAAATGTTTGTTGGTACAAGAGGCCTGTCACAGCTGTGTGAGGAGGTTCTTGTTTGTGGAATTGGAAAAGTTGTTCTTGCAAGGCTAGTTTGCAAGTACATGCATGAGTTTTTGAAAATTTCTTGGCTCTTAATGGTGATTTTTCTTTCCCCAGAACCAGCTGTTGTTGCCAAATCGTCGATCTTGCTTGATGTGAAACCTTGGGATGATGAGACAGACATGGCCAAACTAGAGGAGTGTGTTCGAAGCATTCAAGTAGATGGCTTGGTCTGGGGATCTTGTAAGTAGGAGAGAATTTCAAAGCAGAGAGAGGGAGATAGTGCGGTCCCTTAAGATAGTGTACGAATAGGTAGACTTGCAGTCGCTGTTTGCTGATCTCTGAAAACGTAGGTAGTTAAAACAGTGTGGGAGTTACAACACTACACTGCTTCAGTATCTTGACATAGTCAAAAAGGTGTATTAGTGCAGTGGCCAGGTTAAGATACAAATACAGGTTTTAAAAGCCTTAAAACTTTTTGGCTGTGCTATCCTGCATCTTCCTGTACAGTTCCTGATGCAGCAAGCAGACACCCATACACCCACATTGCTGATTTGGGGAGGTGGGGAGGGGAACCACAAAAAGAAACCCTTTCGACAACCTTGTAATGAATGCCATCTTGTTGATTAGGCAGTCTGTATATGGAACAAATTAGGGTTTTTATGTATTCCTGCAAACTACTTTGGTCAGTCTTAGATCTGCATTTTTTTAAGAGATTCCACCAATCAAGGAGTACTAAATGATTCTGGTTTTTTTGCAGCCAAGCTAGTACCAGTTGGCTATGGTATCAAAAAGCTTCAGATCCAGTGTGTTGTTGAAGATGATAAAGTTGGAACGGATATGCTGGAAGAGAGAATAACAGCTTTTGAAGATTATGTACAATCAATGGATGTAGCTGCTTTCAATAAGATTTAAGTCTTGATATATCTAGAATAAATGCAATTGCAAAAATTGGGCTGGGTCTGTGGTTAATTCAAAATCATAGTGTAATCCAACTCATAAACGTAAAATTTGGTTGATGGGTAAAGTAGAAGCTAAAACTTAATTTCAAGGTTGCTCCAACACCCCACTGTAGTACCCAAGAGCATAATTCCTTTGGAAGGAGGGATGGCTTTAAGGGGAAAGTACAGGGCTTGGTGTCACTATATAAGGCTGGGCTGGCAGTTAAAGCAGATGCTCTCTATTAATGCCTTTCTTCCCCAGAAAGGAGAAATGGAAGAGAGAAGATGGGGTTGGAAGATTAAAACAACTTTAATGAAACAATAAAAATGAAAAAGTATAATACTAGTACTACTAATAATATAAAGAAAAAAATACATAAACCCAATATTGAATTTCCCAATGATGATCACAGAACTGTGTGCTGCAGGTGGCTTGCAGTGCTGATGTGGCAGTGCAGGCACCAGGATGTGCTGCACTGGGCTCGGGGATACACAGATCGGGACTTGGAGGTAGGTGAGCGAGTGGAGCCCTACAACGATGCTGGCCATGAAAGAAGAAGGGCTGACCCCTGTGATCCTGTAGCTTTATACTCGGTATGATGTGTATGGGATGGAATACTTTGTTGATCAGTTTTTGATCACCTGTTCTAGTCAAACCCAGGACATTCCACCCCTTACCCTGTAGGATGTCATGCATGGGTCACTACTTTTTTTTTCATCTTTGAATATGTTTTTATATATATATATAGACACTAGCTTATGATTCATCTTTCTGCGCACAAAGTTTGAGTTGATTTCATTCATGACTGTGGGTTTCCATCTATCAGGGCAGGAGAGACGGTATGAAAATTGGTTTGGTTCATGCCTGTGGGTTGCAGGTTAAAAATGTCAACTTTGAGGAAGTTACTGGGCACTGCTTGAAGCTAGCTGTGGCTTCATCACCACTGTATTAGCCTGAAAGACATTTATTGAACACTGTTAGTATTATGTATCAATTACATCAATTCAAAATTGAGCATTCTCACCTTGTACCAAATGCCCTTGAGGTACACACTGGACTTCACCATCCTTCAGCATCACCCACCAGGTACATCCAGGCCCTTGAGCGAAAGCAATCACACACATAGGTTTGCCTTTGCCTGAAGCTGGAAAAACCCAGATAGTTTTTCCCAACATAATTCCTTTCATGCACCACAGGGACTTTATCCCCTTCTACCATATGTAAAAGGTCTGTCAGCAGGACCAGCTCCACTGATAGATCCCCTGGTGTTAGCTATCCATGTGGTTTGTGCCAAATGTTCATCCCAATTTTTAGAGGTTACACCACCGATTGCTCTCAGTGTAGTCTTTTGTATGGTTTGGTTTTCCCAGAGGCTGATGCATAATAGGGGATGTGATATACCCACTCAGTGTCGTGTTCTTTGGCCCAGGTGTCTCTGAGGTTGTTTCAGAAATGAGCCCTATTGTCTGACTCAATTCTTTCTGGGGTGCCATGTCGCTGTAAGACTTGCTTCTCAAGGCCCGGGATAGCACTCTGGGCGGTGGCATGGGGCACGGGGTATGTTTCCAGCCATCCGGTGGTTGCTTCCACCATTGTAAGTGCATGGCACTTGCCTTGGCAGGTGTGTGGGAGCTGGGAGCGTGATACAGTCAATCTGCAAAGCGTGAATAACTTTTTCTAGCAGATAAACAGTAGTTTAAATCCCTTTTGTTTAATGAGGGTGGTGACTAACGAAATATGTTGTGGCTTTTTCTGAAAGCTAAAACGGCTTCACTGAGGGAGTGGAGATGAACGTAAGTTAGAAGCAACTGCAATGCACTAGAGATGACAGGGCATGTAGCGAAAGAGACTTACCGGACCTGAAACTACCACGGTACCGTCTCACCTCCTGTTGTGTGGGCTTGGAGCTCTTTTCCTCCGAAGTGGAGGAACATTTGCAGTGAAATGACTTCACATTTCGCATCTTTTCCAAGGCTTCTTAATCAGTACAGCGCACAAGGGTATTGATAAAAGCTCCTGCTCTCACGTTCCGAGGTCCTTGTGCACCGGGCACCGGACCCAGCCTGGGCAGGCACCGGGGCGCGGGATTGTGCCTCCTGACAGCCGCCGTGACCTCACAGGCGACTAGGGGGCAGCGCGCGCCTTCTGCCGGGACTCCTCGCGGCACCGGCTGCCCCCGCGGCACAGCGGGATTTTTTGGGGCGGGGGGGCCGCGGTGACACAGGCTACAGCTAACGCAGGCGGGTAATTCACTCACTCCGGTCATAAACTTGAAGCTTGCTCCAGGCTAAAAACAACGAAAAAATAGCTGTTCAATTAAAATGCAAAGATAAAGTAGCAGAATTAACACCAGTTTGAGCTGCTTCCTTGGCTCCAGATTGGTTTCTAGGCTGATTTTGACATTTTTTTAAAGACTGAAGGACCTCTCAGAACTAAATTGTTTTCCAAAAGTTAGCCATAGGAACGATACAAATGTAAAAGCTGTCAAAGTTGCGAAGCTTCTGGACAAATTCACATTTCTAGGCCTTCTGTTGGACTGAGAGAATTTCTTGTGGCCGTGAAATGGAAGCCGCCTGTGTGCCACATTGGTCACTCTGAGATGAAGACAGTGCCAAAGCCTGACAGCAGCAGCTAAAATAACTCTTTCTGTGTGTGGCTATCTGGCACAGCAGGTCCTGTTTCTCTTTGTTTAAAGGTCTGCCAACTTCAGATTATATAAGAGCTTTGCTTTATTAAAAAAAAAAAATAAAATCTGCCTGCTAGAGATTTTAAAGCATGATTAAAGAATTGCAAGTAAGTATAATTACAGGCTTCATTCCTACCTTTCATAAACTTAACTCCTAAAGGACTAGCTTCACCCTGTGTATAATTAATGCACAGTACCCTTTCTCTGGCAATTCTCTAGCTGTCACTGCTGCTAAATCATGTAGCTGTTTTAGCAATTTGGCCATGATGCTGTTGAAAGCAAGAACTTAGCAAATGCCACATCAGAAAAAAAGAAATAAAAATTCTGCCATCAAAATATAATTTTTATTATCCTTGGCCGTCAATGTTTCTGACCTCTCATTCAATGTGCTTCTTACTTTTAAACTCTTTCCTTGACCTTGAAGTTAAAGCTCTAAGTGCATCATAGAATCATAGAATCATTTGGGCTGGAAGGGACCTTTAGAGGTCATCTATAGACTGTAACTTTGCTAAAATACCACACTACGAGTCACCCATCTGACCTGCCAGACTGGATTTTTGTGTGTGTGTTTCATTTATGCTAAGCATGCATGTATAAACTCTTCAGCTGGGATTTCTTTTCTGTTGTTTTTTTTTTTTTTCCCTGACGATAGAAAGAAACTTGCTGCACAGGAACAAAACAAAAAAAGCTAGAAAGCACAGCCTCCCCAGTTACGAAATAGAAAGGCATGTGGGCAAGAGAATTCCACAGAATCCACATCTATCTATGTTAGGGGGTTTTGTGCAGTATTTGGGTATGAGCTGTTACATTACTGTGTCATTGTGCCTGTGAAAAAAACAGCATCTTGGAGTAAATGAGATACTTCTGTCCCAATTGCACCCCATAACAGAAAGATCAGCAGAAACTTCCATAACTTAAATATGTGATATATAGGAATACTGGGAAAACAGTTTCACAAGTGTTGGTTACAAACTAATCTATGTAACAACCTTCAGAAGTACAAACTGTTCAGGAAGCAGGTAAGAACATGTAACCAGAACTTGTCTATTACAAAATGTGTCAATAGCTGTTATTCTTGACTGAATGGTTGATCACAGCGCTATTTCCTACAAAGTGTTTTTTTATAGTTATCTTTTAGCATGATAAGGTCAATCCCCTTTGTCCATTTTTTTTTTTTGCATTGTGGTGAGTTGAACAAGCATTTCTCAGTGCAAGGAGCATAGAACTGTTGGTATCATTTTGGACACTCCTTGGAAACAGAAACTTAAGAGCGTTACCTGTTTTGTTTAGGTATCTTCCATTACTCTTGCAGAAATGATTTGAAGATAATTCTGTAACTGATCTTGGTGTGAATGAGGTAGTAACATTGTGAGTTTAAGCCAGTTTATTCCATAGACCAGGGCTGACTTTGGCCTTATTCAATTCTATTTTTTATTTCTGTTGCCTGCTTCAGAGGAGGCTTTCTGACAATTTATGCAAGGCAGCATACGTATGTTCCCCCATGTGAAAATCAATTGCTTTACTGTATATAGCAACACGTGTGCTCACATAGCTGACATGGAAGAAGAAAGTTGACATAAACCTTAATTCCTGTCGTAGAAAGGGACAAGGCTTACTTTCACCTTCCAAAATCTTTGGGAAGGAGCTGTCCTAAGAATGGACAGTCACTGCATATTGCTGCTGAGAAAAGCAAATGAACGCACCCTTTGGAAACAACAAAATTTTATTACTTCACTTGGAGTACAGTCAGGAGAGTAGTACTAATACATCATTCTTAGAAAAATGTCAGGGAACATGTGAGGAAAGACAGCAAAATGTTTGATTTAGGCACATTCAGCAGCATGGTGCCAAAATACTATGATGAGTCACTATGTACCAGGCAGCAAATGACTCAAAGGAAGAGTGCTGCTTACCAACTTCCCAGCCCAAAGTGAAATCCATAGAAATTCCACTGATCCTGCCTGACTCTCCCAAACTCTGAAACCAGAGCCCAAAGAAACAGTTACAGACCACAGTCAGACTGTTTCTATTTGTACAGCTACCAATAATGGATGTGCTCATACATGGATATATATATACACACTATACAAAAGCAAATATATTTACATATAAGGCCTCAGTTACAGTATAAACGCTACTTACGTGTGTTGGCAGGCCATAGAAACTAGGCAGATTATCTGAAAGGCACTTTTATTCTATATACCTAGGCCAATAACAAGGAAAAGCCAGTTCAAATTTACCCAAAGTTTTATGCTTTTACTTTTAGTGGGGTTTTATGCCACATTCACCTTTTTAATTAAGTGGCATTGCATCAGAAATTGGT